TAAGCTAGCGAGATCGCAGCGGAAAGTTGTGATTGTTGCGTATGAGAGACGAACGCAACCAAATTCATCTATTCATTTTATTTTTGAATGATTCTAACATTTATACAAAAATTCGCAATGCTCTTAACATCTCAGGATGCCGCGAACGAATTGAAGTGTGAGGGTGTAGCAGAAAAAAATCAGTTACCTACTAAAGAAGACATACAAGAACTTTCAAGCAAATCGACAGAACAAGACCATGAGATTTCTGGACGCGAAAGGCACAACATGATTCTTTTTTTATACATTTTCGCATTAACATCAATAGTTTCAGATCTATCATTTTTAGAAAGAAACGTCAAATATCGCAACCATCCTATCAAGCATATCTCGATAGCCTTGGTCGAGCAGACTATGACGTGCGAATAGAGGAAGGTTTGAACAACTTTGTAATGAACGAACTTATCTAAAGACGATATTGTCAGGTTGGCAGAATATTCTGTACCCATTTGGTACATGGGCGATGGACGAACAATTAATGGGCCAAGCTGGTCGTGAAACTCAGGCAAACCTTGGCTTCGACTGTCCATTCTTCGGGTTTAGGTCATATAAAAGAACATGTTGACGCCAACATATTAATTCTGTCTCTTATAGATTCAACTATACTTTCGTATATCCTATGGGTATGGTTTCATTCGCTCTACCGTCGTTTGCCACACCACCTTGGACATTTCCAAATCCGTCATGGCCAAAACAAAGGGTGATGCTTTTGAAGTGGAAGTCATCTTTAATATCCATTCAATCTGTTTGCAATCATTATAGCTATAGAGTAACCATTAAAATTGTTTTAAGCACAAATTTAAAATTGACCTCGATTCCCACGTACTTGATTAAACAGCGATGAAATATAATGGACTTCTCATTTTAATGTGTTGTTGGTGGTTCATTCCTTCATAACGCAACTAAAGCATCAGAAGTCGAGCTTGTCGTTGATTTAGCTTTGTAGATAGGTGTACATTTAGAACTAACTCTCCTACCGTTTCAGGATCACTCATTCATCGCTCCCTTCTACGCAGACTCAATGTATCAGTGGATAGGGAACACGAAAATCAGCAACACATTTTATCGAAGTGTTCATCGTCCAAGGGTATGAAGCCGTTTATGTGCACACGATTTCAAAATGTTTCAGAACAAATCCATTTTTTGAACGCTTGTTACACACGATGATTATTGCTGATTTGTAAGCGCCCTAGAAACCTTTCGTCTTGCTCAAGGTTTATTTGTGATGCCACCTGCACTTAAACTGTTATCGTTCGTCAAGGCTGTAAATG